GTATTTCGGTGTTATTTTGATGGTTTTTTTAGGGCGTTAATCCTCAATTGAGTGTAACCTTCAATTGATGATCCGAAATCACACCCAAATTTGAGCGTCCTTTTTAAGTGTTAACACCCAAATTTGAGCGTTTTTTTTAGTGTTGAACACTCAAAGTTGAGAGTTTTTTTTCGTAAGGGGGGAGGTGTCGCTCGACGGTCCTTCCGGCAGCACGCAGGCAGCAGGGTGTCACTAGAGTCCTAGAATACAGAGATGCGACACGACGTCAGTTAGGTTAGGTATAGTCACCGCCACTTTAATTTAGTAAAGTACTCCTAACCTTATAAGCTGATGGCAATTGATGCAAAAAGAAAATACTTACACCATAATAATAGTTTTTTATTACATTTCAACACTTTGTATTGTCTTAATTTTTCTCTATATAATTTATATGTACATACTTTACAAAGCTGTATCTTGATGCATTAGGTGCAATAATGAATTAAAATGGTTGATTTGATCATTTGATTGGTGCTTTGTCATGTGATTTAGACAGCCAATTAGACCATACCCTTCAATGTCGCATCTCTGTTTTCTAGAACTCTAGGTGTCACGCGATCGGCTGATTACGCGCCGATTGGTCCTTGCCCTGCGAGCGCGACGCCCACAAATCGCGGCGTCACACGTGATCAGCTCGCTCGTAACTGGCAGCGCGGACTTCAAATTAGGCTCGCGACCCTCTCCGTCCTTTGGCGTCGACTCTGCTCGTCCGCCTCGCCTCCGTACTTTTTGTCGTCGGCAACCCGGTCCTCGACAGATCGTGAGAGTCCATTGCCTCAATGTAAGAGACTTTCCACCCGGATTGCTGAAAGGAATCGGCGGCAGTAACGAGCTCGTAACAGAGAATATCGAGACCAATAACGTTCGTAGAAACTATGTCTGACCTGCGTGCTCCGTTTCTCCCGCAATTAGCCAGTCATTCCGATGCCGATGTCTCTCTCCTTCTCGCTGCTTGGTGTAGACGATTCCTTACACGCGCCGTTCGGCTATGCCGCCGATCTCTACCTATGGTTACGCTCATGAGGAGAGGAAAGATTAAATAAAGCGCGCGGTAATAAGATAGAAAACGCAATGCGCGCGGATACGCTCGCCTCCCTAAATTGGAGAGGACGCAGGATCCAAAACCGCGCTTCCTCGGTCGGGTATTATGACCCTTGTGACGGACGGTCAAAAACGTCACGTCACAGTACATAATATTAATTTTTCGCAAAAATAATGAAAAAAACAATTTGTTCTGAAATTTTATTACTTGATAACTCTACATAGGCTTCTTAACTTGGCTGTTATCTTAACAATGAACAATATAGGATTAATAAATAACCAGTTCTTTTTGTTAAGAATAAGTTTAATGTCAATTAATTGCAACACACATGAACAAAAAGTATAAACTAGGTTGATTTATTTTTTTTCTTGCAAGTGTTCCGTTATGATATGTACATTTTTCATCTCTTATTTAAAATGTGAAATTCTCAAGTACAAAATAAAGTTTTGAAGTCTTATTTGACTTTTTCTAAGTCATGATTAACATGCATGGCAGATTAAAAATTGAAATTCTACTTTAATTTACATTAATGTATCGTTGTACTTTATATACAGTTGCATATTTACAAATAATTTTAAAATAAAAGTTTAGCCATTCCGTTTCATTCTCCTTATTATTATATTAAGTATGTTTATGAAAATTTTTAAATATTTGTTTAATTTAGTGAGTTTACATTTGATTTTATTTATTATAAGTTCTATTTAATTCAATGGCAAAGTATTAATAATTATTCTGTTAAAAATATATAATGAAATCTCTACACTTTAACAACAACTTCTTTAAATATTAAAATAGTTTATAATAAATATTCGGAACAAATTGTTTGCGCATTTATTACATTTCAAATATATACAAAAGATATCTATTCTCTTCATCTTGATATAATTAATTGTTGTATTTTAACTCATTTATAAATATCTTAGCCAATATAATATTAATTAAGTTTCAAATTAAACAGATGATTTATATTATACTTTTCGTAGCAGCCTACATTTATATGTGTGGCCGGAAAACCCCCAATTATAATGAATGCTTTGTGAACAGCGCCAACATTGCAAAGAGTAGGGTCTGTACAGGGATGCCGGAATTTGATATTTCTCCTAGCAAGCCACTAATTATTGACAAAATAGTTGTTTACAACACAAATAATCTTAAATTAAATCTCGAAGATGTAAAAGTAACAGGATTTTGCAATTTCGAAGTAAAGTCTATTAATACATCCTCCGATAGGTTTCACTTCGAAATAGATGTCGTGCAGAAACATCTTGATGTGCACTCCAAGTATGATCTCGACATACGTGTATTGGTTTCACTTGTTAATAAGGGACGGATTCACGTTCCTATAGGTACATACAACAGTTTATCTTACATTAAAATGAGACAAATGTTTAGAATTATTTACTTATACATATATAAAAATTCATAATTCTGGTTATTCTTTCATTAAAATAATCAAACTATTTTTTCCTCAGATAATGCAGAAGGAACATTGATCTTAGATGTAAAAATAGAAACTAAAAATAATAAAACAGAAATATATGCATCAAAAGTAAACCTTGATATCCGTGTTAAAACATTCAAAGTTGAATTTGATAACAGTGAGAAAGATAACTTGTTTCAATTACATGAAGCTATTGAACAAGTCATAAACGATAACGTGCAACATGAGTTTATCAATATACTTAAACCAATAATGGAAAAGAAGCTCTCCGGAATAATTATGTCAGTTGTTAACAAAATCACCTACAACAGAATGGAGCAAGTGTTTCCCGACAAACTACGTCTAGAACTCTGAAAATTTGTTATCACCAAGTCGCTATTATACATCCTATTATGCATCCAAAAGAATAATTGAAATACATTATGTACAATATATGTATATTTTAATTATTATTAATAATAATATTTAAAAAATTGGCGATATGTTTTTTTTTATCAAATAATGAAAGCAAACGTCGTTTATTAAAAAATTGCTAGTACAACAGTACAGATTTTTATGGAATAATAGTTAGTCGAAATGTTATTTGTCTCAGTATTGAACACTACTCTTGTTGGAATGAAATTATAAACTGTGTTCTAATAATCTGATAATGATTACAAAATTATAAAGTAAGATTTACTAAGATTGCAATGTTACATTTTATTATATTTGTAACTCTAATATTTAAAATTAATAACCTGTTATAAGTTTCCGCTTTATATTATTTTATGGTCACGAAGTTAAAATGAATGAATGACTAGAGGAAGTAAAAAGGCACAAAATTGATGCAAATGAAAAAGAATGTATACGTAATTTAAAAAATGAGCCTATCCAGTATCCGTTTATATATATGTATATATTCTGGATTCTCTACTTTTAAAATATCTATTCATTCCCCTCCAAGATAAACATAATTTTCTTCTGCCTCTCCTATACATTTGTTATATTACAATGCGCAGAGTATGAAAGCGAATGAAACTAAAGAAATAGAATGCATTTTTATTCTACGAATATGCGTCAGAATAAAGTTGAGAGTTGAGGACAAATTTCAATTAAAATAGATGAATTTTACAGATTATATAGAACTTCGATCGATTTGTGTGGGACTTAATTGATTCGCACGTATACAGTGCTGTCTGTGATTATTACGACATAATGAAAAGTTCAATGCATGAATACATTGTACATACTGCAT